ACACTCATTACCATGGTGACCCAGGCTCTGATACCAACCCTGATATGGGTTCCCCCACATTAAGCCAGCATATGTGGAGTTAAAACCAAAACACTCTTTCACTGCTTACTCCCTGGCTTCCTGGCTCCAGAATCCATTATCCTCCTTGGAGACAGACACCACCAAGGACAAGCACCTGGATTCATTATCTCCTCCCCACAAAGAGGTACAGGCTGGTGGGAAAGCTGCTGACCAGCGAGGTCTCTGGCTCCCTCCTTTCCACAAGTGTCTCAAGGCCAAACACAGGCTGGTGGGAAAGCTCCGACCAGCAAGGCCATATGCTCCCCTCCCCTACCTAAAACCCCAAATGAAAACCCTTCCTTTTAGCTTTTTGGGGAGTTTTGGATTTCAGCGTTAGCTGCCCTCTCTCCTTGCTCAGCACTGTGCAAAAATAAAATTCCTACTTTCTTCCACTACAACCGGTGTCAGAGATCAGCTTGCTGCACAACGGGTGAGCGAACTCACTTCAGGTTTGCTATCAGCTCTAGGGAGATGTTCTCTATAGGAGCCTAGTGGGAGTCAGAGAGCATATGGCCCAAGCAGCACAGTTAACAATGGGTGGGTTAAACAGCTGAAAGCTATAATCAGTAATTGCAAAAAGGAAAAAACGTTAGTACCCAGAGACTTAATCATTGATGGCTCCTTGCCAGTTTCAAAAGCTCCCTCCCTTTGGAAACTCCCACCTCCCTTGGCTTCCTGGCTCCTCTCTCCCGGTTCTTCCTCCTGTTCCTTGGGCTGTTTCTCCTTAGAGTCCTTTAGGGAATTCTCATCCTCCACGTACCCCCTCGATGAGGCATGATCAAGATCAAGCTACCCCTGCCATTCCCTACAATCTGTTATCAACACAGCAGCCCCAGTGATCCTTTGAAAACATAAGTCAGACCATCTCACTGCTCTGTTCAAAACCCTCTTGAGCCTCCCCCATTCAGAGAAAAGGCCCCAGTGGGCACAGTAACCTTCAAAGCTCTATCTGCCCTACCCCAGCCCCACTACTTCTCTGTCCTCATCTTTCCCATTTGCTTGCTCCATTCCAGGTCCCTGGCCTCCTTGTGTTTCCTGAGCCCCCCAGCTGTGCTCCAGCCTCAGCGCCTTTGCACCTGCCATTTCCACACCTCTTTCAGTCATTTGTCGTCCCTTCAGTGAGACCATCTCTGAGCACCTTATTGAAAATTACAAACCCCCCCCCCATTCCCTATTCCTCTTCTCAGCAGGACCTTTCTCCATGACAACCTTAACCATCTGATGGACTAAATGTTCTACTGATTTTGCTTATGGTCAGGGAGGTTATCCTCAGGGAGGATGCACAGGACTTCTGTTTAGTTCCCTGCTGTATCACTAGAACCTAGAATAGTTCCCAGCACAGAGTCAGCACTCAATAAAATGTGTTGAATAAATAAACAAACTCACCACCTTGAACCCATTTCTCCAGTTGAGTCCCCTTTCACAATGCTGGCACCATACCCACTTGGTTCCCCCAGCCATGAACCCGGGGTCACTGTAACTTCTACTTTCCTCTTGCAGCAATCTGTCTCCACACCCAGAGACCCACCTCCTGGCTCCCAGCATTGCCCACCCATCAGCACACCTGGCTCAGGTCAGCATCACTGGCACAGGCAGCAGTGTCCTGAGTGGCCTCTGACTCCAGGTCAACCCTAACCCATCCTCCCATTGAAGCAGAGCCAGCTTTGGAAACCACAGTATGATCCTGTCAGTGTCCTTTGGAAACCCTCAGGGCTTCACACTGCTGGACTTCCTCGCAGGGCAAACACCATTCAGCCCCAGCTCCTCCCAGGTCTCTCCCTTCCTCACACCATTCCTCGCATCCTCCATGCTTTCTTACTCCATGCCCTTCCCTCTCCCTGGAACACCCTTCCTGCATCTTTCTGCCTGGGTACCTCCTTCTCATGCAGCAGGACCCTGTGCCCCTTCCCTGGGCCTTTCCCTTGGTGCAGAGAGTCAGAAGACATGAGTTGGAGTCCTGTCTCCACTTACTAGCTGAACATCTCTAGACCTCTATGTTTATTTGTCAAGTGTGGAATGATAATAAGTGCCTTGAGGGTAATTAGAAGCATTAAATGAGATGATAAATACTATTGTAGGAGCCCCATCAATGTTGTAGGTGCTTAATATTTCTTCCTGTGACCTCATGACCTCAGTACTTCTACTTATTACAGCAGTTTTCACCGTGTTCTGACTGCCTCCCTGCCGGGCCGTGAGCTCCTGCAGGGCAGGGGCTGTCTGGTCAACTCTCTTTCCCCACCGCCTGCCTAGAGCCAGCACCTTCACCTTTTTTTTTTTTAACCGATGAATGATCTAAGCAAATGAATTAACAAGGTGGCCACAGAGGTCAGCCTCACACACAGGATAGAGCCAACCTAAAGGAACTCTGAGACGGCCTGGGCTCTGGGACTGATGGAGAGAAGCAGGCGGTGGAGCGGCAGCCCAGACGGTGCAGAGGCCGCCGCCGTGGGCTCGCTCAGTACAGCCGCGGGCTCCCCGGCCTTCGGGTTTCATCGGATGCTCTCTCAGTGCTCCCCCTTTCTGGCCTGGAGCGTGTGCACACGGGAAACTGAGTCCAAACGAGCTGCATACTAAACTTCTCAGCTTCCACTTCCTTATCTGAAAGAAGGGTAACCCCGCTGCCCACTTTATAGGATCGCTGTGAGGCTTCAGTCCCTGTAATAGCAACTGGCATAGACGGTGCTTGAGAGAGTGAATGCTTGGTGCAAGTTTGTGGAGTAAGTGGTGGCCCAGAATTGCAACATCCATGAACAGGCAAAATCCTGCGGGCAGTGTCTGCACTTAATGACGCCCACTTCAACCTCCGTGTTCACGCTCCCTGCATTCAGAGCAACGGTAGTGAGCACAGAGGGGCTACGAGGGCTGAGCCAATTAGGACTCTGACCCAACTCCTCAGTCTCAGAACTTCAGGGATCAAAATATTGAATCTAGAAGATTGTCCTTTCCCAGTGCCACCTCATACCGGGATACCCTCTACCCAGCTCCTCTTCAGTTTAGAAGTGCAGAGAAGCAAATGAAGAATGGATTTGTTAAAATATTGGGATGTCGCTAGTTGTTAGACACACCCACCCACCCACCCGTTCCCTCCCTCCCATTTCCCTGTTTCATGAGAAACTCACTACTGTGCAAAGTGCCAACAGGCTCCAAGAGAAATAGATAAAAGGTGCATTTTGGAGACAGTCAGGGTCACTCCGGTCTTAGAAAAATGGCGTAGAAAGGAGGTCTAGGAAGGCGAGAAGAGGGGACCACCCACACCCTGAATCTCCAGGAAGCAGTTTCAGGCCAACACCAAGGTGAGAGACGGAAGAAAATCATCTCCATGCCCAGTAAGATAATGGGATGTTACGGAGAGGGCTGGGGTGTGCATTCTCAAGGCTGAGCAGACCTAAAAGCAGGATGATTCCTGAGTAACCTGGTCTGGAAAGATGAAAGGCAGGGGAGAGAGGACGAGCATTGTTTCCGTACGGTGGCCTGGCTGGCTTGGATTTACTCCCATCAGTCGGGGAATGAAATGGTAAGGGTAACAATAAACACACTGAACTCTGAAGCGTGACACTCCGGAAATCCCAGCAGGTCAGGATGGTTCTCGTGCCAGGCTTGGCCTGAGGGCTGGTATGTTCCGGTAGGGTTGGGGAATCCGCGCCAGCAGAAGCCTTGAAATGAGATCTAAAATGGACTTGCTCTAGGCAGGAATCAGAGCTTTTTCTCTGTGGGTCTTTAAGTTGTGCTTGTCACCCAGCCAAGAGAAAACAAAAACAAAGCTAGAAAAGTTGTGGTGGGACTTTTGCACCTGGCTGGGGGTTGACTAGATGACTATCATGGTCCCTTCCAGCCCCAAGACTGTAAAAAGTTCAGCAGCAAGAGAATATTGACACTAAGTTGATTTGCAAACAGAATGTGAGTTTATTTTGATTTTTAATTGAATTTAATTCACATATCATAAAATTCACCTTTTTAAAGTGTGCGGTTCAGTGCTTTTTAGTATATTTGCAAAGTTGTGCAACCATCACCACTATCTAATTCCCGAACATTTCAAAACCTCCCAAAAAGAATTCCCATACCCGTTAGCATTTACCCCTCATTCCCTCCTCCCCCAGCCCATCAACCACTAATTTATTTTCTGTCCTTATGGATTTGCCTGTTCTGTACATTCATATAAATGGAATCATACGACATGTGGCCTCATATGTCTGACTTCTTTCACTTAGCATAATGGCTTCAACATTCACCCATGGTGAAGCATGTGTCAATACTTCATTCCTTTTTATGGCTGAATAATAGAAGAAGTATTCCATGGAAACATTATGTTTATTCACTCATTAGTTGGTGGACATTTGGGCTGTTGGAACTTATTTTAAAGGAACAGTTATGTAAGTGCATTCTTTGCCCACCCCCGCTTCCCTCAAATTAACAAAATCAGTAGCAAAATGGAGGGCAAGAAAGCAAACCAGCCAGTAACTGGTACTTGGAAAAGGAAAAGCACCCTTGATATTTTAGGGTAAGTCAATGAAGAATGGGGCCAAGATTATGGGGCCTAGTTCGAAACTCCTAATGCCTTCCAATCCCATGGTCCATGGGGAGTCCATCCACTAAGCCATCAGTTAATCCATTGGGAAGTGCTTGGGTTGGCAGGAAAAACTAAAAGCCATTGTCCAGATCAGTGGTTTTTAATCTGTCTTTCAGAGACTCCTAAGGTTTCATGGAAATAACTCAGGGCCACCAAGGGGGCTAGGGTTAGGCATAGGTGGATAGGACCCTGAGCCCAGCCCCATCCCTGCTGTAACTAGAGCAGCTCTCATTTTAATTGCTTTATTTGTTGAGGTTCCAAGAGCTCATTTGGAACAAATAAAAGGGGTCCATGGCTGAAAATATGTTTGACAACCACTGGCAGATGGTTGTGGAATCTTTGGACTGGAGTTGGGTCTCCATGGTGGCCGTTCTTACGAGTTCTTCTGAGGGACCTTGATGGTGACTGTCTTCGCCTCCATGTAGGCCTTAAGCCCAACCTCCCCCAGCTCCCTCCCATTGCCAGATTCCTTAAACCCTCCGAACGGCGTGTGGCAGGTGACAATGGTGTAGGTGTTTACCCACACTGTCCCAGCCTGGAGTGCCTGCGTAAAGTACATGGCCTTGTCCAGGTCCTGGGTGAACACAGCAGCAGCCAAGCCATACCTTGTGCTGTGGGCCCCTCTCAGTTACCTCCTCAATCTTCTTGAACTTGAACAGGGGCTGCACAGCTCCGAAGATCTCCTCCTTGGCAATTTTCATGTCATCTTGCACACCATCAAAAACCGTGGGCTTGACAAAGAAACCCCACTCCCCCAAACACTCCCCACCACAGAGAAGCTTTGCCCCCTCCTTCTGGCCAATCTGGCTGTAGCCCAGGAGTCATTCAGACTGTTCCTTATCCACCTGGGGCCTCTGCTGGGTGTCTACCTCAAAGGGGTTCCCAACTTTCCTATGCTTAGCTTTCTCCACGGTTCTCTCAGGAAACTCATCATAGATGGATTCTTCAACAAAGATTCAGGAACCCGCACAGCAGCACTGGCCCATGTTGAAGAAGAGGGCTTCATGGCACTGCTCCACAGCGTGGTCCATGTCAGCATCAGCCAACACGATGCTGGGGCTCTTCCCACCTAGCTCTAGGGTGACTCTTTTGAGGGTGGAATCACCGGCTGCCTTATGGATTAGGTTGCCCACCTCAGTGGAGCTGGGGAAGGCAACTTTGTCAATATCCATGTGCTGGGCGATGGCCGCTCCTGCTGTTGGACCATAGCCAGTGTTGATGTTCACCACCCCAGGGGGAAAGCCTGACTCTTTGATTAGGGAGGCCAAATACAGGGCAGAAAGCAGGGTCTGCTCTGCGACCTTCACGACCACAGTCTTGGCCATGGCAAGTGCTGGGGCCAGCTTCCAGCCCTGCATGACCAAGGGGAAGTTCCACGGGATGATCTGGCCACAGATGCCAACAGGCTCATGCGGGGTGAAGCAGAAGTGCTCACCCTCCATAGGGATGCTCTTGCTGTGCCACTTGTCAGCCCAGCCAGCAAAGTACTGGTACACCTTGATGATGTCATCCAGGTCCAAGATATAAGACTCTTGGAAAGGCTTTCCATTGTCCAAGGTCTCCTGCGAAGCCAAGTAGACATGACCCCGCTCTACCAGGTCCGCTAGGCGGTTCAGCAGCCAGCCCTGCTCTGAGGCATCCAGCTGGCACCATGGAGACCCCAGGCGAAGGCCTTGTGGGCTGCTCTCATGGCCGGATCCACGTCAGCCCGGTCCCCCTCAGCCACGTGGCCAATGACCTCTCCCGTGGTGGGGTTGACTGTTGGGAAGGTCTTCTTGCTGACTGCATCTTGCCGCTCACTGTTGATGAAGAGCTGTTTATGGTGGATGGCTGGGTGCAGGACGGGGCTTGGGAGGGCTGCTGCCAAGGAGTACGGGGAGGCTGTGCTGCCAAGGGGCAGAGCAGCCAGGGCACCAGGAAGCGCAGCATGCTGACCACTCTGGAGAGCGACGGGGCAAGGGGGTCCCCCAAAGCCCACCGGCTCAGAGGTCCCAAGATTCTGTCATAAAGGGGGGTTACCTCTAAAACATGGATTGTAAGGGCTGCAAAGGCCCTGAAGAAGTCTCTGGTCCAACTGGGCCGTGTCCTGTCTGTCCGCGGCTCACTCCCTCGCCTCTTCTGGGTCGTCCCTCAGATGGCACCTGCTCAGCAAGGCCTTCCCTGACCACCCTTAATAATTGCAACTTTCCTCACCCCCAGCACTCTGGCCCCTGTACCATGCTTTATTTTCCCCCATCTGACATACCAAATAGTATATTTACACACTTACATGTTTATTGTCTGACTCTCCCAGTACAATGTCAGCGGCGTGAGGGCAGCCATTTTTCCCCCTTTCATTCATCACCATGTTCCTGATGACTGGCATTATGCCTGCCACAGGGCAGCTGCTCAATAGCTACTAAATGATATACTGAGCAAACATCAAAATCCCCACAAAGGCTGTTTAATTGACCTACGAATGAAGTAGAAACCAAAGACACTCAGAGACCGAGTTGTTCTCAGAGAGGGGCTTGCCTCACTTCACCTCTGTGCCTTGGTTTCCTCAAGTGAAACGCCTCATGGGGCTATGTGGAATGGGGCCGTGCATATAGAAGGCCTGGACCCTCCACCCAGGACATCAGAGCTGGCAGCACCCTCAGAAAGCAGCCTGGCCCAGCCGCCCAGGTGCAGGCCTCGGCTTCCCATAAGAGCAGCAAATCCAGCAGCAGCTGGAAAGAAGGGCCCGTTTATCCTTGCCTACAACTCTGAAAACAGTGTGGACTTTATTAAAACAACAACTATAATTTAAACAGTATATAGAATTTATTCAATGAAATTGAAATGGTATATAAGGTTCCCAGATGCATTGAAGCAGTTACTCTCCAGCCAGGACATCAATGCCTCCACCTTTGCTGTCTCACTTGAGTCTTGCTCCACCCAGAGCAAAGACGAACTTCACGTGCCCCGCCCCCACCGACCTCCCAGCACTCCCCACCCTCCGCCACTGGGCAGGGAAAGCAGCAAAGAACTCACCCAGGAAGCCGGGCCCAACCGGGCCCCCAGCGCTGTATAAATCAATGCTGCAGAAGAGCCGTCCCTTGAGGGGAAGGTGAGCCAGCAGGCCTGTCAGGTGTGCACTCAGGCTCCACTCTGCTCAGGGCTCTGCCCTATGCTGGCACAGAAGCAGCCTCGGGTCTGACAGGTCTGGGTCCGAGGAGGGAGAGGTCCAAGGGGAGGTGGCAGCAAGGGGGTTACCAATCCATAGGGTGGGGGTGGAAGGGCTAATCAGGCGGGGGGAGGGGACTGGTCACAGGCCAAGGCTGGTAAATCTTTCATGCCAAGCCAAGGCTGTTCCTACTCTGGGGGCCCGTATGGGGTCTGCACTGGAGCCTCTACTGGCACGTAGGAAGATCACTCGCACAGCGCGCCACGCTTTACATTTTGTAGGCCATCTTCTCAGCAGTTGACTCACCTTCCACAATGCTCGACATTTATGACTTGGAGAGAAGGATGGATGTACCAAGGCTCAGGGTAAAATGCACAAATTATTCTTGCAGAGGGTTGACTATTTTTCAGAAATGTTTTGGATTCAGCTTTTTAATTGGCATAAAAGATCCAGGCATTTATAATGCATGTTGGGCCTGGAGCCACTGTGTTTAAACTAGAAGGATTGAAGAGGAAATGGTGGGACATCCAAAGCCATAGTCAGGTCGTTGTCAAAAAGGGATATCACCCAGGATGTGTTTACACTGGCTGGTGCAGGAAGAGAAGCTATTTCTAGCCTTCAGTGTTTTGGAGCCTTATATGTCTAGGAAGTTACTGTGGCTATTCAGGCTCTGAGATAATGAACAGAACAGACGATTGCCAAAAAAAAGAATGTGAGCTGCACTGGGCGTTTATTCCACACTAAGCATAACAAAGGCCTCCATTTTCTACGCTTGAACTGAAGATGGGAGACTGGGTCAAGACAGTGAGGAAGTTGCAGAGAATAGAAAATTCAAAATAAAGATGCATGTAAAAACCAAACCAAAATCCACCTTTTCTTCTTGTTTTTTCCTATGTGAACCTTACCCTCTGTGAATTTTACACTCTGTGGACATGACCAAAGTCTGAAAGTTGTCAAACCAAACCAGCCCTAAGTATTTGCCACAAACTCAGTTTCCCCTGCTGCCTGCTTGGCTTCCTTCCTCTTTCCCTCCCTCTGCACCTGTTTATAGTCGAGGAAACTGAGACCCAGAAAGGGAAAGGGACTTGCCCAAGGTCACACAGAGGGTGAGTGTCCAAGTTCAGACTACAATCAAGGCTCTCACACAACCCACCGATAACACGAATGGAAGCAGAGCATGTGGCAGGGCGTGCGCATCCGCAGTGAGGCATCTCGAGGGAGGGAGATTATCCTGGATTATGTAGGTGACCCAAAGTAATCGCATGGTCCTTATCAAAGGCAGACAGAACACCAACTTCAGAGAAGGAGGTGTGATGACAAGCGGAGGTTGGAGCGATGCAGCCACAGCCAAAGAATGCAAACAGCTGCAAAAGGCAAGGGAGAGATTTTCCCCTAGCATCTCCAGAAAGAAACCAGCTCCGCTGACCCCTTGATTTTAGCCCAGTGAGACCCATTTCAGACTTCTGTGCCCTAGAACTGTAAGATAATAAATTTGTGTCAAGCCACCAAGTTTGTGATAATTTGTTACAGCTAACAAGTGGGAAACTAACACAATGACGCACTGGTTTGTAGCCCTTACAGGCTATGATTGAGTTTATGGCCTCTGGCCTATCTGGAGCTAGCCAGGCAGTCACCAGCATTCCATCGTGCAGACACACCATCATTACGGTGGACATCGTTTCTTCTGTTTGCCCAGCATTCCTTTCTTCTGAAAATGGCACAAGGTTGCTCCCGCCTCCATCCCAATCATATTTTTGGGTCAAAACTGCCCATGAGAGCATCCTACGTATTCTAGGGACCTTGTTAAGCGTTGTTACCTATAAATGCGTTCTATTCTATATTTCTAACAAGTTCCCTGGTGATGTCAGCGCTGCTAGTGCCAAGACCACGCTTTGAGTAGCAAGGGTAGGGGATGAGATCTGAAGGACAAGTAGGGGCCTAAATGAAGAGGCAGGTTAAAATCGCAGTTCAAAGGGACAGGCATATGCACAGGCCTCGGGGTGGGAGGGGTCGAGATGCATTCAAAGAACTGGGCGAAGACAGTGGGGCAGAAGCAGGAAGAGCCAAGGGGAGCCTGGCTCTGGAAGAGGCTGGGGCATGGGCAGAATCAGCCCGTGCAGGGTTTTGGAGCCCAGGTAAGAGCTCCGACTCCTGGGCCAGGCACCCTGGGTAGATCTAACTCGGTCCCACCCTGGAGCAGCTCAGAAGACAGTGGGGACACTGACCCAACAAATTGAATGTTTTAACAGACATCAGCACGAGTTCTGAGCAAACACCAATGAGGGAGCCCTGGTTCCTCCCATCTGGGACTTCCGGGGAGAAGATGCCATTTCAGCTGAGCCGCGCATCAGCTAGAATTAGTTCAGACGCATGTAATTAATTGGTAGTTCTCAACTGTGACTGCACGTTAGCATCACCTGACAGCTTCTGGAAACGCCAATGCCGGAACGATGCTCCAGACTCAGCGAATAAGAGTCGCTCGTGGGAGAGCCGGTTGTCGGGTTTTGTTCTTCTTGTAGTTTTGTTTTTAAGCTCCTCTGTTGATTCCAGTATGTAGCCAGGTTTGTGAACTGCTGATGTCAGAGAAAACCCAAAATAAAAGTAAGAGAGAAGTGTATTTCTCTCTCACTTAAAACAAGTCCAGAAGTTGGTTGTCCGGGGCTGGGAGGGCTGGCCTCTGCTGTCTTCCTTCCTTCAGCAGAGGATCCCGCAAGAGTTTGGAGGAAGCAGGAGGCAAGGTCGACACAATCCAGTTTGCAATTTGAAAAGACCGTTGCGATTATAGTGTGTGTCTCCTCCAGCTTCCTAGGAAGAAATACAAATGCAAGTTGTGTTCCCAAGGACAGCATGTGTTGCTATGTACGGAAGCTGACTCCTGATGGATACAGGGGGGTTGTTAGATTCTATTTTTGTGTATATTTAAGCTTGCTCATAATGAAAAGTTAAAAAAATAAGAAAAGATTACGTTACCAAGTCAATAGAATATGTCCTCCTGGCTCAAAGTCTCTGTAATGATCTGTCCCTTCACGACCCTCATGACTCATCTAAATTCAGTTAATTATTGGACAGCAGGGGTCATGCAAAGGGCATGGGCTGGGTGGCAGAGCCTGGGCCCCATCGCTGCTCCAGCCTCTCTGTGACCTTGGGCCACTTCCTCCCTCTCGGCCTCAGTCTTCCCCACTGTAAAAGGAGGGAATCTGAGATGGAGAAAAGGGCTATTAGGAGCTCAGGGCCCCAGAAAACTGTATTAAAGCTGGTAAATAACGTTCAGTATTAGCAGAGTCCTTGGGCTGTGAACTTTGGACCCTGAGTCATGCTATCTGTGAAACCCAGCCAGTCGACTTTCCCAGCCTGTTATCATCACTGGCTGTGGGCCATCATGAGGAATGGTTGAAGTATAGAGTGTTGGCAAGGCCAAGTGCATCTGCACACATTTGCTGACTGAACAAGCCTGAGTGCCGCCCCGCCGTTGATCGTGCACAGTGCCGAGTCGTGAGGGAGTGCATGAGGGCCTCTTGGATCCAGTAGGAGCCGACTCCTAGGCGACCGGAGAAGGGGAGCGGGATGAGCAGCCGCTCACGACGCCCTTGCTGTTCACCTCTGTCTCCAGTCAGTTCTTTTTGGTTGCAAGACCATTTCCTCAGCACACCCTTTACCAAGGCCCACAGTGTCCACATCGGCAAGCACCTGCCTTCCATCATGCCTCCCTTTGCTCCGCTCCTGTTGCTGATGACCCTGTTGCAAGGCCCTGGCAGTGCAGAGATGACTCAGACACCATCCCTGTCCTCAGGCCGCTCAGACTGGGGAGGCAGACAGATGTGGAAACTGGTGTGTTTCTCTCACACAGCATGGGAAAGCCCCGTGGTGCCAAGAGAACCAAGAAAAATAAAAAAGCGGAATAAAAGAAAGCCTGGGAAGGCCAGGGGAGCTTCCTAGAGGAGGTGATACTTCAGCTGAATCTTGAAAGGAGAGAAGGGCTGGGGCAGAGGTGGCATTTCTGGAAGACAGAGTTGAATGTGCAAAAGGCCAGAGGTAAGAGAGAGCTTGGTGGCCTGGGGAGCTGTGAGTAGCTCCTGCTCGCTGGAGCCTGGGGTATGGTGGGCAGGGTGGGAGCAGTGAGAGAGCCAAGGCTGGAGCGGTCAGAGGGGGACAGGTCATGAAGGGCCGTAAGTGTCGCATTAAGGAGTTTCAGTGTTATCCTGAGGAGGCACAGAAGGACTTTAAGGCAGGAGGGTGACTTGGTTAGATGAGGACCATCTAATTTCATCAGATCGCATGGCAGTGAGTGAGGATTAGGGTTAACTCTGAGTGCCAGAGACCCCAATAACTGTGGCTTACGCAAAACTGGAGTTGATTTGGGGTCAGCCAGGTGGTGCAGTGGTTAAGATCACATGCTCCGCTTCGGTGGCCTAGGTTTGCTGGTTCAAATCCTGGGCACGGACATATGTACTGCTTATGAAGCCATGCTGTGGCAGCGTCCCACATATAAAGTAGAGGAAAATGGGCACTGATGTTAGCTCAGGGCCAATCTTCTCAAACAAAACAAAACAAAACAAAACAAAAAACTGGAGTGGATTTCTCTAAATAAGTAAAAGAAACCTGGAGGTAAGCAGTCCAGGGAGGTGATAAATGGCACTCAAGGATACACATTCCTTCCAATTCACCATTTGGTCACCCATGGCAGTGGGCATTGTCTTTGTGGTCCAAAATGGCAGCTACCACATCATATTTCAGGCAGCAGGATGGAGGGAGGGATGAGACAAACAAGTAAAGTGTTCATGCCAGCTGCTTTTAAAGAAGGTCCCCGAAGCTCCCCCCAAACACTTCCACATGCCTCCCACTGGCCAGAACTTGGGCACGTGGTACAACTAGCTGGGATATGTAGTCTTTATTTTGGGGGCTTCCATTTCTGTGCCTCAGTGGGAAGATAGAGACTGGAGGATAACTAGGAGGCTCTGCCACAGACCCTTCCAACTCTGCTGTCAGGACAAATGTCATCAGCTTCAGTTGACAGATAAGGACACTGAGGCTAAGAGAGAGAAATGATTTCCTCGTAAGTGGTACATCTGGAATTGCTAAGCTTGGGTTTGAACTCCACACTCTTAAGCACCAGGTGGACTACTGGAGGTGACTGACAGGAGCTCACCCTCGCCTCTCCAGGGTGGCTCCAAAGAGCTTGCTATGTGTCTGCCTCGGTGGGTCATTTGGGGGAGCAGCCCCTACCTGAGAGGATTCCCAGGATGGCTGGTTCCGCCCCTGGCCTTACAGACTCAAGGACAGATCAGGGAGCTGGGGGTCCTTAGAGCTTCTGGTCCAACACCGCCATTGTACAGATGAGGAGACTGAGGGCCAGAGAGGCAAAAGACTTCCTCGATCCTTCAGGGAGTTACTGAGAGAGCACAGACTAGCACCCATAAGGAGAACCCACACGTGGCACCATCTTATTTATTGTCAGCTGGGGTTGGGTGTGGTGTTTAAACAACCTTTTCAGATAGTCTGCATCCTGGTTAAGGTGTCAGCCGCAGGTTGGTGGCATTGCCTGGGGTTAGAATAAGAAAGGTGCTTCCCTTTGCACATCAGTTCCCATAGATTATGGATCACGGAATATTCCTTCCCAGAGTAGAGTGAGGCGCCTGCATGACAGGGAGGATGGACCCACAGAGGAGAGAGGACATGAGGTATAATGGGCAGAGCCCCAGCCTGGGGGGCCAGGGCCTGGATCCCAGGCTGCCTGCTTCGCTATGTGTCCTCTGGCCTAACTGTCTGCACAGTGAGAGGACTGGGCTAGCTCACAGACCCAGATGAAATCTTACACAGAAGGCCAGTGTGGAGCCAGGTGAAAGAGACCTGCCTGCTGGTCCCCCACCCACTGGTGACCCCTGAGGCAGCTCCAGGGGTCTCTCGGGCTCAGTGGTACTCCTAGCTCTGCCCCTGGGCTGAGATGTCAGGAATGGACCAGGAAGGCAGTGTAAAGTGACCCAGCGGCAGGAACCGGGGAGTGTGGCCTCCACCTGGTCCAGTGAGAATCCTTCCCGGGGTCAGGTCTGTCTTCCTAGGGCCAACTTCTGGGCCAGATGACCTGCTAGAAAGGAGGGTGGGTGGACAGATCAGGGGTCCCTCCTGGGCAATGGCTTCATTCCCAGCTGCTCTCCTGGTTCTTCCACAAGCAGGGCCCCAGTTGGGTGTGTAGAGGGTGGGGAGGCTCCTTAGGGAGCTGGTATCAACACTGGGAAGTGCTCGAGCCCATGGAGGGGCCCAGACCCAGGCCCGGGCATGCTGTTCAAAGCACTGAACAACAGAACAGCCAGCACTGACTATGAGTGTGGAGCCGGCTGACATCCTGCGTCCAGTCTGGTCTGTGTCCCCCTTGCTGAGCTAGGTGGTACTCCTTTGGAAGCTGAATCATGGGGAGGTGTTAGGGGTCCTAGGGCAGGTGCTGGGAGGCCAGAGTGGAGGTGGACCCTTGGGGGCTCGGATGTCAGCTGCTTACAAACCGATAGGTAAGCATTTCAGGTTAAAGTGACCTGATGGCGGTACTCAGCTGAAAATGAATCCGGCACGGTCATTTATGAGCTGAGCCAAAGGGGTCATCACTGTGATGGGAAAAATATGAATTAATGGTGTTGTTACCCTAATGGTACAGAATAGGAGACTGAACCCCAGAGAGGGCCAGGAACGTTCCCAGGCCAGGGTGAGAGACCCCAGCTGGGCAGGGCAGGGTGGGGCTGGACCCAAGACTCTGCCTTGAGCATGATCAGCAGTCCCTCCATCTGTGGCCTTGGAGGTGCACGCACTGCCTGCTGGGGACAGGCCAGCACCGTTAATAGGCGCGCTTACTTAACAGGCTTCCGCCTCTCAACACCCAGGGGAAAGAAAAGATAATTCAATCTTGTTTTCAAGCAAAAAGAAAACCGAAGAGGCGGGTAATGAGGGGCAGAACAATCTTCTAGCTGCCTGAGCCCAGACTCTCAGATGGCATCTGACAAAGGAACTGTTGTACCGAGTGGGGCTGTTTATCTGCCAAACAACATTTGCAAGACCTGTCTCATCGTTATCGTCTTAGAATCATTATCACCATTCTCTGCTTCACAGAGCAGCCAAGTGTGGAAGAGCCTCACCATCCACCAGATGCATAGGCTTCAGGCCCCCCAAATCTGGGTCTGCCCCCGCCTGTTCTCTTGGTTCTGCTCCCCAGGCTCGCAGCCCCCTGCTTTCCATTCCCAAAGCTCTCCTGAGCTAGGAAACTCTTCCTCCCTCAGGCTGGAGAGCAGCGAGGAGCACAGCAGAGGAAAAACAACGATTTTCGAAAATTCGAGGCCATCCCTTCATCCACAGTCCACAGAAACCAAGTTCCTGGTCTTAAAACCTGAAGAGGGATTTTTAAAATTCCAGTCTGCCTGCCAGACAGGCTCTTCCTTTCCCGAATATGAGCAAATGGGTAATTTCTTGCAACCTTAAGGAGGACTGGAAGCAAGACACTCAGCTGGGTGGCTTTGCCAGGCACCTGCCCTGTGCTTCGAGTGTGGCAGTGGAGTCCCACGAAGCAGAGAGACATCTGATCGGAGCCTGTGTTGTGTCTCCCTGGAGTTGGAAGGGCTTGGTTTACGCGCACTTGAAACGTCACCAGCTTAGTGGTCTTCTGAACCTTCTTATGTATCCTGAAAACTTTGAATGGGGATAGAGTAGGGCACGCTGAAAGATGACCCAGCTGTCTGGGCTGAAGTAGAATAATAATTAGTATTAATGGGGGCTGAGCACTGTCCATGTGTTACCTCCTTTAAGGCTTCCGGCCCCGATGTGATTGGTGATCTAGCTCTGATCTCTGTTTTGCTGAAGGAACGGATTTAGAGAGGTGTTGCTCAGCCTGGCTGCACGGTAGAATCACCAGGGGGCTTATAAAAACACTGATGCCCAAGCCCCGCCCCAGACCACCTGAACCAGGGAGGGGGCTTGGCTAGGGGCCTGATTTGAAGCAGTCAGGGTGCTACTAATGTGTAGTCAGAGTGGAGGAGATAGGGTTGTTTAATTTGCTCAAGTCACACAGGTAATGAGTGACGGATTCTAACACAAGAGGTCTAGCTCGTTCGAACTTGCCAGAAGTCAGTGTCATTCATTAACTTCCCAAAGGACCTGGGGCTTTGGTGTGAAGTTCTTTCTCCCCTTAACAACGGAGGCGTATGAAGCCTGAAGCCCGAAGCCTCCAGCACGTACAGCTCTGGGACAAGAGGTGCTCTTTCCTGCTCTAAACTTTCCAGATTGTACCAAATGGACAGGACACAGTGCATTAGTTTGCTATCGCCACTGTAACAAATTACCACAAGTTTGTGGTTTGAAATAACAACATTTATTCTCTTACAGTTCTGGAAGTCAGAAATCTGAAATCAGTTTCACTGACCAGCTCAAGGTGTCCCCAGGTCCCCCTCCCCCAGGCTCCAGGCGAGAATCCATTTCCTTGCCTATATCAGTTTCTAGAGCCGCTTTTCTTACATTTCTTGGCTCATGGCCCCTTGCCCCATCTTCAAAGCCAAGAGCGCAGCTCCGCCTCCCTTTTATAAGGACGCTCACGGTTGCATTTAGGGCCCACCCGGACAATCCAGCATACTCTCCCCATTTTAAGAGCTTTAACTTAACCAATCTGCAAAGACCCTTTCTCCCTCCGAGATGATACTCAGGGGTTCCAGGCATTCGGACAGGAATGTCTCTGGGAACCATTATTCAGTTTACCTCACACAGGAAGTGGGGAGACCCCGTCATTCATGTTTCCTTTCCAGTTCCAAAGCCGTCTGTGACCTGGCTGAAGGCGACTGGGCTGAAGACGGATTAGTTGATATTAGTTTGGTCCAAATGACAATTTGGTTAAGAAAAAAAAAGAATGTTGTAGCCAGCCTCCAAGATGGTCCCAATGCCCCCACCTCCTGCTCTTCACAGCCACCCCGCCCCAACACTGCATAGTCCCCTCCCACACGGTACTAGGCGTGTTGATCTGTGTGACTGACAGCATGTGGCAGAAGTGATGGTGGTCTGTCACATCCAAGATTAGGCTGTGGAAGACTCAGGCTTCCATCTTGGGCTTTCTCCCTGATCTCTTGCTCTGGGGCCCAAGCTGCCATGTGCGCTTTGGAGAGGCCTGCCCGGGAGGACTGGAGGCCTCCTTCCAGGCGACCAGCATCCCCGGATCACACTTGGAAGTGGATCCGCCAGCCCCAGGCAAGACTTCAGGGGCTGCAGCCCTGGCCAAGAGACACTGAGCCAGAGCCACCCAGCTGGACCCTTCCTGGATTCCAAGCCTCGCACACCTGTTTAAAGGTGCTCAGCTGGGGCGATCTGTTCTGCTGTGACCGAGAGCCAGCGCCACGAAGAGTCTCGGGATCTGCTGCTCCTAGCATTGGTGGTTTTTAGTTCTTCCAACAGGGCGTTTTGCAAACTTTCAGTTCACTTGAAGCACTTTTATCCGTTTTCCAGAAGTGTGCAGGAATTCGTTTTTCTCTTTTCTAAATTTTCAAGCCATTGACCTCTGTGTTCTCATGTTTTAATATGGAAAAAAAAGGCAAAAGAGTATGACTTAGAAGGAACTTGTGTCTAAAAATGGGGATTTGCCAGGACAAGGCAGGCGGCTCCTCTCTGGGAGCACCGGGGCTTCGCTGACACACGGCAGGCGGCGGGGGACGATGACTGTGTGTTCCTCTGGCCAGAGATTCTCAAAGGGCCGTAAGGGATCTCCTCTCTCAAGTCATCAGGGCCTTGGTAAAAGGCAGTCTTGAGAATCATCCTCAGACATGCCCACCTGGAATGGGGGTGGATTGGGAGTCTGCCTCTCCCAGAGCACCCCTGGGGACCCTCCTGAGGACCTAACCCTAACCTAACCCCGGCTTCAGGCCACTCCATGTGTCTTAGTGTGGGCGCGTGGGCTGTCATAACAAAATACCACACGTGGATGGCTCCAAAATTTATCTTCTCACATTTCTGGAGGTTAGGAGTCCAAGATCAAGGTCCGGCAGAGTGGTTTCTCATGAAAACTCTCTTCCTGGCCCGTAGATGGCCACTTTCTGTGTTGTCACATGGTTAGAGAGAATGAGAGAGAGAGAGAGAGAGAGAGGGAGGGAGGGAGGGAGGGAGAGAGAGAGAAGGAGAGAGAGACCGCCAGCGCACGCAGGGAGGGTTGGGGAGAAGGAGGGAGGGAGAGAGAGAAAGCCAGAGCTCTTCAGGATGAGATCAGGGCCCCGCCATTATGACCTCATTTAACCTTAATTGCCTTCTAGGTCCATCTTGAAATACAGCGCCCTGGGAGTTAGGGCTGCACCAGAGGAGTGTGAGGGGGACACGATCCAGTCATTAGCGGGGGGAGTGCAGAACCCAACAACCGAGCTTCAGGATGGGGCTGCGCCCCCCAGGGAGCTCTCCTTCTAAGAGGGAGACAGCTGGAGCAGGGCTTCCAGTGCCAGAAGGATTTCACTTCCAACGTTTATTCTTCTTTTTCTAGTTATAGTAATAATTTGTGCTCATTGTAGAAATATTGAGGTGAAGAAGAAAATAAAAATTATCCAGTGATAACCACTGTTCTGGTTTTGGAGTATTTCCACCCAGTTTTGTTTTCTGTGCATAAACGCAGGATGCAATGGTTTGGAATGTTTTTCACATGAAAAGCAAAGGTGGTGAGGTGTATTTGAAAGAATGCTGAATTGAAACCTGAAGACCTGGGCTCCTAGTCTCATTTCTCTACTTAATATTTTGTGATCCTAAAATTTAAAAATCTACTTTTTCTGAGCCTCAGTTTTTGTGTCTGTAAATCAGGAATAACTGTACTCAACTTGCAGGGCCACCATAAGGACTAAGAGAGCCACAGCTGTGGTGTTTGACCAGCACATCGCAGGGCACAACCAGCCACGGCTGTGGTGGGCAGTGATCTGCCTGAGCGGCAGAGAGAGGAGGGTGCAGCTCAAGGGCTGTGGAGCAAAGGCTGGAGGTGGGAAGGGCATGGGGGAGAGGAGGCTGGGAGTAGGCAGGGGTGGGTGGCGAGAACTCACCGTGAGGGAGCACGAGGTTTGGGTCAGTAAGCTGTGGCACATCTGCAGGTGTTTGTGACCGAGAGATGGGAGCCAGCCCCTATATGCGTGCTCACTTGGCTCCCATCCAGCCTCTGCCCCAGGCCCCTGCCCTGTGCCCAGGGTACTTGGCCTCGCTCCTCCTGGTACTCTTTCCAAGAGGTGCTGACTGCCCTGGATGCCCTTCATCTCTCCTCTTCTCTCCCTCAGAGTCTACCCCTCCCTCATCCTCTTCCCCTGTGCTCTGTGCTCTCTGCTAAGGTCAGGCTGGATGCAACAATCCCAAAGACCAGTTAGGATGTGGGGTCTGGTCAGAGAGTTGCCGTCTGCTAAGGCTTCCTCACCTAGCGTCCTTGGACAAGTGTTTCTCCTCTCTGGGTATCAGCTGTTCATTTGCAAAGCTAGCAGGTTAGAGTAGCCCAGCAGTTTCCAGTCAAAGTTCTTTCAGAGTTAGAACTTTCCAGAAGATGTTGTCTCTGGTGAGTACTTAATAAATGTCTCTTGAGGGGCAGACATGATAGATCCCAGCAAGCAGCTGGAGGGGATGGGCGATGACAGGGTCTCTGGGGGTAAAAGGCTCAGGGCTGCCACCTGGGAAAGCGCCAAGGTCCCCTCCAGGTGTGCCAGCTGTGGGTCGCTCAAATGTCAGGTCAGCTGGAGAAAGCACTTTCTAATGAGCAACCTGTCCCATGATGGAAGGCACCGCCTTAGGAGGGAATGAGTTCCCTGTCATCAGGTGTGCAAACAGTGCCAGACAAGCCCTTGGCAGGGATCTTATGGACAAGGGTTGCAAACTGAAATGACGTCCAGGGCCGGGCAGATGACTTGACACAGTGAAGTGGATTTGCACATTAAGTACATGGCGGCTACTCTGCTCTCCCACAAATGAGAATCGGCTCCCATTTTTCCTGGGAGCATGTGGCCCTCTTGACCGTTCTTTTTCTTGTTTTTCCCATTTTTGTTAGACTCAGCTGGAGTTCAGAAGGAAAGCAAATGGCTTGGAGTCATTCACACTAGGGAGTAAGTGGCTGCTGGCTTCATAACGCCCCCACCGTTACTTATATTAGCCTGAAAAACGAAAACGAATAAACAGGAGAGAGGATCATCCTGGTGGATTTTGTGTGGACTGAAGAAGATAAAAACTGCTGCGGCAGAGGAAGATAAGAGAGTTTGGGACCAGAAACCTATTCTCCACACCCTGAGACAAGATCTCAGGTTCTGGGAGCAGAAAGACGAGCTCTGCAGCCTTGACAAGTTAGTAACCTCTCTGAGCCTCAGTTTCCACATCTGTAAAAGGGTGTAACCACCCCTACCTCTGATTTGTAATGAGCTGCAAGCAAGCCAGCACAGGTGAGGCGCCCCGCACCTAGCAGAGCTCCCAGGGGCTCCTTTCTTCTTTCTGTCTTTCCACTGCTGAGTACAGACCTCCTCCCACCTCCACCCCCAGGATCCGGGTGTGCTGGCCATGAGTGGGGTGGACGGGGGGAAGAAGAACCAGGTCCGCCTTGGCCATCCAGGATGGAGGGACGGACGATCTCTCTCCCAGAAGCCCCTGGCCCTGTGTTCCCCGACTGGTGCAGATTTTGGAAGCTGAGGGCTGGCTGCTGGCTGCGGGTGCCAGGTGGGGTGGTGCGGGAAGCAGCTTGCCTCCAGGCGAGTTGGCTCAACCCATTGCTTCGTTTTAGCTTCAAACATTCAACTTCTCGCTTCTATTTGAAAACCTGCGTCTGACGTGACCACCTGGCAGCTGCTGAGAAATGTGGGGAGCTGCATCTGCACCTCGAGCAGGTTTAGCTGTGTGTGTGTGACAACCCAGTCCTCTCTCCGCCTGGGATCGCCTGCATTCGTCCATCCACTCACTCACTCATTCGTCTAACGCGCGTCTGCTAGATGTTTACTATCTCCCAGGCTCTGTGCTAAATGCTGGGCTCCAATTGGTGAGCAAGACTGACGCGGTCCCAGCCCTCAGAGTGTGGGTTCTGGTGGGGCGGGGCCATTAGCAGGGCACACACGCCAGGGTAAATGTCAAGGCTGGCCAGCATTCTCAAGGACTGGAATATGCTACCATCAAGGTGGGTAACGAGCCTTAACCAGCGGGAAGAGACGGTGGAGTTAAGTATTTCTGAGAGTCCATTCACCCAACAAGCATTTACATCTGCTTGTGCTGGGCATGTACTGAGCCCTCAATGGAACTGTCACCCTGCCTACCAGGAGCTCCCTGAGGCCTGGGCAGAGGTGTGGTTATTCTCCTCTGGACCCTCCATGCTAGACCTGGGCTTGGTTATGCAGTAGGGACTCAGACACTGGGACTGGAAGGGAAAGTCATGCAGAAAAGCAAAGAATACTTCTTGGCTGAATAGGGATTTCAGGAGGGAGGGTCCCACATTATCACTAGCATTACTCTGAATGCTGGGGAAGGCAACTCAAGTGCCAGCTCTGCTTCTGCTACTCATGGGCTGTGTGACCTCAGGCAACTCCTCTCCCTCTCAGCTCTTCAGTTTCCCCCACTGTATGAGAAATGGGTTGTGGAGCTGGCCCTGTGGCATAGTGATTAATTCCAGTGCACTCTACTTTGGTGGCCCGGGTTTGTGGGTTTGGATCCTGGGCATGGACCTACACCACTCATCAGCCATGCTGTGGCAGTGACCCACATACAAAATAGAGGAAGATTGGCAACAGATGTTAGCTCAAAGCAAATCTTCCTCACCAAAAAAGAAAGAAAGAAGGAATGAAGGAAGAAGGAGGAAGGAAGGAAGAAGGAGGAAGGAAGAAAGGAAGGAAGGAAGGAAGGAAGGAAAAAAGAAAGAGAAAGGAAGGAAGGAAGAAAGAGAAAGAAAGGAAGGAAGGAAAAAAGGAGGGAGGGAGGGAGGGAGGGAAGAAAGGAAGGGGATGGAGCAGGTTAATTCCAGGATCCAAGCCACAGATCCCACCACAACATCTTGGACAGAGCAGGGGCCTGGGAATGACTATGCCATTTGTCACAGGGGCAGATGCAGCTACGGAGGGAGACACGAACAGGACTTATGACAAACGGCACTAATCGGTGCCACTAACACTCTCAGCTACCTGCTCATATTCAGGGTTGTTCTGTAATCTGAGGAACACAGCAGAGTACATTTATAGTAATTCTTGGATCATTGGGTCTGACAGGTACTTTTCCTTTTAAAGCTTGATGTTAAAAGTATTTTACAGTGATCATTGTTCATTGAATTTTTTTTAAGGACAATTACAATATGGTGATAGGTTCTGGGACACATGAGACAGGATTCTAGATCCTGTCTTTGTTTTTAAAGAGTAGAGCATGGAAAGAAAAAAACAGTAACTTTCCAGCAGAGACTGGGAAAACCTCACCTTAACCAAGTGATCAGGGAGGAACACGTGAGCAATGTCACATGTCACCTGGTATGATGTGGCGAACAGGGCACTTCACCTCCATGATATTCTTTCCATAAGCCTATAATCCCAGTCTACAAACATTAGCCAAACCCCGACTGGAGGACATTCCGCAGGACATCCAGCCAGGACTGAGTGCGTCTGTGAGCGTCATGCCAAGGGGGAAAGACCGAGAAACTGTCACAGACGGAGGAGAACGTGGGGAGACGTGACAGCTGGCAGAGGGAGGGCGTGCATCGGGCCGTGGGGCAGGACGAAGACGCTGGTGAGGCACTGGTGCCATCCAAGCCCGAGGGTCTGGACTGTGCGTGATAGGAAGGTACCTGTGTCACAGCTCTTGGTTGTGACATGCGCCATGTTACCATTGGGAAACTGGGTGAGGGGCACTTATGAACTCTCTGTGCTATCTATGCAAACTTCCTGTAAGTCTAGATTTATTCTAAAATGAAAAGTTAATTTTTTTTAAAAAGAAACAAACATTTTAGTACTAAAATAAAAGCATTTGGCAAAAAAGGAGGGAAGGGTGATTAATAGACAAAATACCTTTCTTAGAAAATGCCATGGAAACATTTGTTTGTCCCAGTTGATGGGGTTAGGATTTTTGATAGTTAGAAAATTCCTAAGGAAGAAATTTGAAACTTAGCCAA